CTCCATCATTTCAAGCCATGCTTTGTATTTAAACAGTACCGCTTACGATGTCCTTTTCTAGCTGCTTCAACTTGGGCGCCTGGGTGTTGTGGCAAAACTATCGCTAGTATTATCTTCAAGCATATCCTTATGCTAAAAGGGTTGGCCCTGACTTCTACGCCAAATGAGAATTTTCAATTATATGCTTTTTTTCGCAGCAGTACGTGATAAGTCTCGCAGGTATGACGAGTCTAGGAAGAAACGCTTGGCTTCGGATGAGACTGAAAGCTGCACTTGTGCTTTCCTTGAATTTTCCACAAAAAATCACAGAATTTTCTCGACCCTTTCAATCAACCCTGATTCCGTTGTTGGCATCACGGAAGACGTTTGTTGGGTCAGGAACATGAAGCTGTTATGCTCGAAGGACATGGGAACCCTCGCAGATTGTTAGAGAATTCTTAACTTTTACTGTAGAATTCATTCATTTTTATATACTTTTTGCATATCTCTTAGAGCCTAGAATAGCCCTAGCTGCTGATCGTCTGAATATATTTTTCCAGGCGTTCCTTATCGCTTGCAAGCACTTCTTCAGCTTCTTACCGGATGGAGACAAACAATGTGAAGAAATTGCCAACAAAGTCATCAAGCCAATCAAGGAAGCCCTTGAACAAGGTGTTACATCAGAAGATGTTTGTAAAAAGATTTTAGCATGCTAAATCAAATTCGATTGTAATGCGATTTGCTCTTTCCAATAAAGTGTTCCGAATTTTGTCCCACTGACAATGTTCGAATCGTTTTTGCAATCCTCTTCAGCCTCTAACGGCAGGAGAACATGTCCGCCTCCGCGTGCGTACGTTGGTTAAATTGGTTTTGAATCCGTTTTACGCCCTATCTAAGTGGAGCGTGTCCCTTTTGCTTTCGTTAAGGGCCATAGGTTCATCCTGTTCTAAATGTAGCTTACAAAATTAGAGTTAAAGTACTTCATTAGAAGAATAAATGAGAAGGCGACCGCTGTTCGATACCTATGGAATGCTCAGCCCATTCTGATTTCACCAATAAATTACAGTCTACAAATGCTGTAAGCACTTTGTATCCGAACAGGGTCAGCAGGTATTTTGCCAGGGTGCCAGGGTACTTTAGAGCGATAGTCGGTTTTCAGGTTGACAGCAGAAGAACCGATACATAAAGTGGTGAAGTGGTGGTGGAATCTCGTCTCACTTCTCTTATCTGAATTTTATGAACAGCACCGCAAAGATTTGAAATCACTCCAAGAAACGGAAAATCGCACCTTTCTCTTCTTTGTATTTTACATCTATTCAAAACTGTGTTTTTTACTGTTTTTCTTTTCTAGTTCCATGTATGCATTACATACAATCAAACTCAACTCAATGAGTTCTACAAAACTGCACTTGAAATGTTGAAAAATTCGATCCTAGACCGAACTGTTTGAGGGAACTATAGACGACCGTAGACTACTGCATATGCTCTGCAGAAATTGGGTTCCAGGCTTTGTAATATTTGAGGGTTTCTTACGTTGTGCTCTGCTCCTTTGAATACCAGTGTACAGCATATCCTGGTGCATTGACAATCTTTTCGAATTGCGCGGTAGCAATGGACGCTACTTGACTTCTCAGAACAAATGCAATTTAACGATATGTATGTATAATAGATAAACTAAGCGCGGGAAAAAAGAAAACATGACCTAAAATCGATGTATCAGCTCATTGATCTCAGTCAGCGTCGGAGCACGGGGATGCCCCCTGTTGCTTTGGATTTTTCACTCTTTTAAATTGAGAATGTTGAATGCTTGGTTGGTTGGATTATTTATTCGTCGTTCTTTTCTGCTGTATTGTTTGATATTAGGTTAATTGTCCAGGTTTGAGATAAACAGTTGGTTACGTGTGGTGTACCCACTTGGTAACGGTGCCGCAGTCAAGTGAGGGTATCGAGAAAGCGGACAATCCCAAGTGCCTCGACCATTTATAGTGAATCGGCCGGAAATCAAACTCAGGCCGCCTGCGTGACAGGCCAGGATTCCACCACTGGACCACGCGCTTCCAACACACGCCAATGAAGCTCTGTGATCGAGTAGTTCATTATTGCTGGAAATTTCCAGATTGTCTTAAATTGGCGGCAGCACTAGAGAACAGCTCGTTGGCTTTTACTTTAGGGCTGCTCTTTTCTCTCTTCTCCTGAGATGTACTAGAACCACCCTGAGAGTTAGAAGTATCTATGAAATCCCGAAATGGTTTGGCAGGTAGTCGCGAATGAAATCTCATAGTACGAGGGTGATACACTACGATGCTTCCATTACTCTAGTCAAGAAGGAGTGCGACCAGTGGCGTGTGGTCAGCGACGGATTACCAAAGATCTGTCGATATCTGCCGCAGACGGTGTTGTGGTTATCACCGACACGACAGCCAAGTGTAAGAAGCCGTGTCTGTGCAAGGAGTGTCACTGAACAAATCCATTTTGACCAACAATCTAACTTGCGACTTTAATGGATTGGAAGCCAATCTCTTTCAGGGTCAGGAATGTGCTGCGCAACACTTCTAACACCATCTTCAAATGAGAAGGGCTGCGGATTGCCGGCGATAAGCGTGAATTCGTTTTGGAAGCATCAACAGGCATTTTATGAGAACGCAGAGTGTATGTATGTTCCAAGTTTGAAATCCTCATACCACGCCTATGAGTCCGCCACTCCACACATTTGCCCCGTCCACTTATGTACATTCCTGCCTTGCATGGACGAGCAACAGTTCTCTTAAAATCTCTTTTCCGTTGACCAATGAAGATCGGATGAGCTACACTCTCTGGTTTCAGATACAACTTGATCTTCGCGTCCCCGGCCGATGAGTATAAACAGCGAGAAAATATTTTATTCGGGGCTCCTGGCCACAGTGGCTTTTCCATCTACTATCTTTGAGCTGGTCGTCGTCATCCTTCTAGTAACCATTACCTGGCTTCGCTTGTTGCGTTCAATACCCGGCGGCTATATTCAACCACCATTAATCGCCAATAACTAATAACCCTAAGAAGTAGTTTCAATCGTTATTCTTTGGATAGAGTATGCCGTATACTCTAGATTTCAGCGGTTTCACTTTCCGCGTGGCAACTCATGGGTTTGACGAACAACCTCAGCACACTCCACCGGAATCCTCACACCTCCACTCAACCACCACAGTTCGGATCATAATAGAAGCCGGTCTTCCCATGTTTGACGTGATATTACTCAGACCTTATGGGAAAAGTCTTGATAAAAAAGATTTTTCGCTGAAAAGTGATGTATACGAGTCACGTCACCATAAAGGACTAGCTATTTGGAACGAAGACATCTTCAAACTTAAGCACGTATCAAAATGTGTCCAAATGTGTAAGGTACGAAATAGACATGGAAGTCCTTCATTTTGCAACACACGACCTAACGAATGCGTCATATGCAAGTATTCATCACAGCAATGATGGAAAAAAAACGAAGCCGGGATTGAGGCCAAGTAAAGCAACAACGCTGACCACTACTCCAATAACATTCCCATCATTCTTCACATTTTCATTCCCGCCTGAGGTCGTCGTCTCGTTCAGGGGCTCTTGTCATCAACCTCTTTACGTCTGCGCCATGCCACTAAAGAAGGTTTCCGCGGAAGCTGCTCCATTGTGACTCAACCAAATTTTGGAAAGATGGACGAGTATTCTCAGAGGTTTGATAGATTTTTCAACGTATTTTTGAAAATACAAGAGACAGAGAAAATATAATACTCAGCAAACTCAATTCTATCCAGCATAAAATGAGTGTCGATGTAAATGCCGATAGGTCTGCTCTTTCTAGCACACTTGTTAAATTTAAGTCAGATACGAAAATCGTTGACGAAAAGGCCTGCAGGATCACATGATAGACATAGGCGAGCAAGCCTCCGAGGCAGCCACCCGCGCATTTGACAAGGAGGCGATCAAAGAAGTGATTGTGTCCTCAGGAGACGAAGAACTGAACCGCGAATTCAACTCCGGCAAGATAACTCTATGCAGATATCCGAAGAACAGGCCTAGTGTAAGTAGCCGTAAACCTCGTATCATAAAAATTACTTTAGGCAGCCAATGTCTGAAAGACAGACTACTAGAGCATATACGAGCTGGTAGGCTATCTGAAGCGCTCTGAAACGTGAGCTTTGGTGGATTTATAAGTAGCTGTACCATTATCTAACACACTCTAGTACAGTACAGTGTCGTAGTCGATTCGTTACGGAGAAGAAAGGTACTAAGTTTCCGGGAGCATGCCACGCATCGACATTTAGAGAAAAACAGCAGAGCAAACTCATACCCGTAATCAAGTCGGCACCACTATCTCTGAAAAAGGATGAGAGTGTTGAAGGATCGTTGATAGATTTTACAGCAACATTGTCAGACTCGAGCAGGGTATCCCTTCGAACATGAGAGTATGCTTTATAATTGAGCTATTCCAAGACCATAATCTTCCTGTTTTTCGAGGCATCAAAGTGTGAGGCATGACTGTCACAGAAGAACTTAGTCTTGAAGTAGCTCAAAAACACTTAACTGTAATCAAGTCGGCCGCAAAAATCCCTAAAAAGGCATGGGGGTAGTTTGGCATCGTCCACTGATTCCATTGCAGTTTTCCTAGATTTGGACAGAATGGTACTTTTATCTAAGAGAATGCCTTTCAATCAGGCTATTCCAGAATCAGGATTCTGAGACTTTCATGGTATCAAGGAGCCGATAAATTGAGTTTAACGTTGCATCGAGCTTCAGAAATATCGCAACCTCGTAGCGGCTCTAAGCAAGACAATGAGAAGTGCAAACTCATTAATTTCGTGTAAATTTTGGATCTCTTGCTGCAAATACTCTCCTCGTGAGTATCATGGCTTAAAATCGACTCGAAATGATGGTCGGTGCAAATAAACCGTAAGTTCGTAACTGATTGTGAGTTCTCTCCTCTTTTCGATGACATTGCTTGGTTTTCATAGGTTTTATCCTTTTCAACAGAGATAACCAATTGTTTCTTCAATAGGGCAAAAGAGCGAAAAGTGTGTGTTTCGTAAGCGCCTTTGCTTGCACCAAGTTTAATCCGGCTTATTGGCACCACTAGTGTTAGTCCTCTCACCAACCAACTGAAAAAGTCGGCATCTTACTAATTCCTATCAAAACTGTGAATCACTGCATGAATATGAAATTTATCTATGTAGCGGACAACACTCTGGCAAATGCTACACTCTAGTCAACGTTCTTATTAGCTGTGTGCTTTGGAAGAAAACCAAAAAGGACGTTGATATCACCCATGATGGCCATGTAGCGTCGGGTAGAGCATCTTCTGAAATGTCGTGGAAGTATGCGCATCTCCAATCCCGTATCCTTAAGTTGTACTGCTCGCAAGAAGCTGCTGAATCCACAAGACTACAGCATGATGCTTAAATACTAGGAGCAATAACGACCAAGATGAGGGTTTGAAGTTTCAGTGGCAGACGTTTATTCCAACATGTATTAAAGACCGATAACGTGATGCAAGATGATCATCGTACTGACTAGATGAGAAACCACAGCGGACTAACATAAGATTTGACGGGGGAATGAAGAATAACTGTTTGTTGGGTTACATTTCAATAAAAACGTCAGCAATGTAAGTGTCTCCTTCATCATTCACTTGAAACATGAACATGAACACTAACAACTACTAACATGAACATCTATAATTACGTAAGCTTGATAACCCAAACCAGACGTTTGGGACTGAGAAGGTATGATTCGTCCCAAGCTTCAAAGTAGCAACATCAGTTGAATGAGCTGCTCGTGGCGGAGAAACCCTTTCGAAAAGAATACATGTTCTTCAAGTTCGTCTTCAGCAATTTTGTCCCCATGTGTCGCGCCGGCGAAGACGCCTTGCTCCTCGCTATACGTTAGCATCAGTGTTCTCCGTTTAGGAGCGGCGTCACCGTCGGCGTGATTGCCTGATCGGGGTCTTACGCTGCGCTCGCTCTCGCCCCATTTGCCACGCGGGGTATTATGTAGAAAATAGAATAGGTAGAAATTGAAACTATGATGATAACCAGCAAACCTACGTCTCAGGAGGCTCGAACCCAGTACGCTAAGTCTCACAGGGGGGGGGGGGGGGGGGGGNGTGCGATGTGGCCTGGGCGATCACTTCGCGTTCAATCGGATTGCATCATACTTCCATCCTTGAACGGTACGACGGCAGTACCACGGGCAGTGGCGGCCGGTTACGACGACGGATGCAGATACACTGTCGGATGGTTTTAGGCCAGAGCACGCGTCGAGTATGCCGACTCGCAGGCGCCGATACACTGTACGCGCCAGGAACCCCGCGTGCCCGACCAGACGTGGCCCTTTGACAAGTCGGGCGGAAGCCACGACACCAAGATCGGCTAAGAAAGTATGGGAAAGTATGGACGGAGGGCTCGACACAGGGACGACCTGAATGGAGCGCACTGAATAAGGTAAAGGACTGTCAACTTGTTACGTTGATCAATACCAAATATGGAGGATTGCAATTTTAGAAGCCCTGCCACTCACGGAGAACTTGGTGGCCATCTTATGCTTCATGATGTATTATATAACGTCCCTAAATTAAGAATCCACTCGATCGATATCGCTGTCTCTTTAAATTTTTCAAAGAAATCTGACCATTGCTTTATTCACCTTAAATTCTTTTTTTCAGGGCATGGAGAGGGGAGATGGCCATCAAAATCATGAAACGAAGCTCCAAGACTCTCAGCGACAAGAACCACGATGCCATGTGGTGCAATGACAATGGTGGTGTGGACGTGACACATCGACGAAAACACTAGTAGTTTTAAGTGCGTTAATAATCTACTATTGTAGGTATTGTTTGAGCCTCCGGGATCGATATGTATAGCTTCATCAGCGGCTGATGTAATCCTTCCAAGGAGTCCTCTTTGCAAATACCTAAATGCCCTACCATTGTGGAGTTGCACAACAAGTGATCGATTGCCGACTGACATACCGTAGCTATGAAAAGAAACAAACGTCAAGAAGTGAAAGCAGTGCTGGCCGACACAGCAAAGGACCAAAAAATGGTCTTACTGCCCAACGTTAGCAAGACTAAGATTACGTGTTTCCAAATCTTTCTCTTAAAGTCGGCGTTCCATTCTGTTAGTAATGACTTTCTTACTGGTCGGCTTGGGGCACAACATCAGCAGAGTGGAACAGTGGCCAGGATGTTCACGTGCGGCTTGTCGGAGTGCAAAATATTCACTTCGTGAAAAACAGTAGAATTAGCAATGATCCTCCAATCTATTGGTGACCAGCAAAGCTCCTCTCACAATGGGCTGGAAACGATGAAACTGGTGATAAAGCATCAAAAGCTACGTTGAAGGCGTGATTCGTAGCTTATGGGTCTTCACTTCTTCCGACATTCTTCTATACCGTTAGCAATTGATATTTTTTGTTCCCAAATGCAGAAAGAACGTTTGCGATAACTACTGTGAGAATAAAGGGCATAATAAGGTATCTCACACGGCTTAAGTACAGAATGAACCAGAAAAGGGCAATACGAACTGGGCCAAATCTACGTCCTTGTTGGGATAGATAAAAATGAAGTCTAGATGCAGAAGAAGTCAGAGCTGCTTACGCAGCCCTGACATTTGATGGGCTTGGCTAATAATATTGACTAAGCACGAAGAAGAATCCTTCCCCAAATCGGCCAAAATCACTGATAAGAGCGGTATCCGTCCGATTTGTTGGGCCATCACACCTAAGCGGCTTTCCGCTGGTGTTGATCCGTTCCTAGTGGAATGCCGTTTTTGATAAGACACAGAATTAATTCGAAGCTATAAAATGAGTCCTTGAACTCAAGTTCTCTAGTGCTCACAATCGCCACTCCACCATTCACCAGAGTCTTTGTCTTCGGTGTCTTTGAAGTTGATTTACATCCTTCAATTCATCATTTCAGGATGCTCCGTTTACTTGTGGCTTCCACTCTGCTCTGCGCGTTCGCCATTGCCCTTCCATCAGATATCACCCGTGACATTGTTTCTCATGACTCCGAAGAAATTGGTCCACTTGAATCTCTTCCACCACTGAGTGCCGATACTGTCTTCTGTGCAGCATGCAGAGGAGCTGTTAAATTCATCGCATCAATACTGGATCAAGGTACTCTGAAGATTGAAGAGGTCAGTCTGTTGTTGTCCCTTAACAAAATTCCAAACTTGGGCAACTATTAAATAGAGAATCTGTTCAAATTCCTTTGCGAGTGTACCGTGATCAGCTTTAGGCCCTAACAGAGTGGATACCCTGTCAACTGGGAGACAGTCAGTTAGATCGGGTAAAACCTCATAACCCTTCAGTGTCTTCATTGCCTCGAAACATTGCTTTCATTCCAAATTTCAAAAAGTTTGTAAGCGAGAACAAGAGTATGTCAGAGCTTCAAAGTGCAATCTGAAAAGTTGAGGGAAAATCGAATTGCAATCAGCAAACACAATCTATTTAGAGAACAGGGTAGCAAATCTACCGACAGTAGCTACTGAAGAACATGGGAAGACCTTCCATCTTTGTTATATGCTTGTCTGCATAAATTATCCACTGTTCCTGCTTAGGATTCTTCCGCGAAGTGATTCACTAAGATCCTGATGATTTATTCCTTAAAATAAGTGAAAGCAGGAATTTAAAAACGCCTCCAGTAACACTCTCATTCTGAGGAGTCGCCTAATGGGTACCGAGCTCGCCTGAAGAGATGTCGGTACTGGTTTGTGGATCAAGTGGACAAGTACCCATCCAAGTATCATTCCAGCTATCACCCGTCATGAGAGAGTGGAAATCGAGCTGATAGACACTTCTCGAAAATGGGTTCCTCATCAACAAATTAAGTTCTACTTTGCAGTGCCTGCCTCAGTTACGAATGAAGCACACCTACTAATACTACTATAAATACTAATTATTGACAGTACCGAATTCCCCAAGAGAATGTAGAAAGGAGTAAGCTCAAAATGTGTCCAGTTGGTCCTTTTACCAGGACCGCAGAACATCTTTTGGAGTTCCCAACTGGACATATTTTGGTCACAACTAACAATAAGGTACCCAGTGAACAACGACAGACATGGAAAGCTCAAATGAGATCCGAATTTTGTGCAATCTAACCATATTCTGTTGTAGTTCCCTCTTTGTTTTAGGATAAAGTTACGTAACGAATTATACCCTAATCTTTAACATTTCGATATCTTGATTCTAAGCCCCTTACAATTTCTATACTACTTAGAAGTATAAAAAGTCAGAGTCAAGAAAGATGAGCACTCGCAAAACGCTTATCCTTTGAAAAAATGTCCCTGTCTACTTCGGTTTTCATCGAAAGATCTCAACACGAAAAAGTAGAAGCAAAATGTGGTTCCACACAGAGTTTTAATGGCAAGGTCGTGTCGTACGTCCACTGTCATGCGCTGTTCTTGGATCAAATCCTCTGTCGGTTACCGTTCCAGTCAGCTAAGCTTCCTTCCTTCGAGGTTTGAGGTTTTGCTGCACCAATGTTCGAGAAATGAGAACGGATTTGTACCCCCAGTACACGGAGAGCGGCAAGAAGGAACGCTTAACAACTCTTCATGGTCATCACAGTTAGGAGCGAGCTGCAGTCACCTCGTGAAATGCGAGTCATGGACCTCGTGTGTGGTAGTCAGCACTTCAGCCCTCGTAGGCCACTACCTCCACCAAAGATTCAGATACAACGAAAGGTGGGGGAAAAGCGTAGGGCTGAGCTACACTGGGGAAAGGCATTTCCTTTGAATGGAAAGTATTTCGCTTGAGGTTCAACTATTGTAAATAAGGACATCGAAAGTGGCTATCCTAGTCACTATATATGTCATCTTGATAGAACTTGACTGGGAAATGGTATTTTTCTGAAATTTTTCAACGCTGATGAACCTTGATGTACCGTAGAGTTCTCACTACGTTAGACGTTGAAATTTGCCAGAAAGTTAATGTTGCAACTGGGATGTAGCAAATGGGGTTTACTAAATCACAGATAATTTACGATTACGAAAAGTGAACTCCTTTTTTTAGGCATTCGTCAACCAATGCGTGAAATTCTTGGACTTCATGCCATTCCCTACCGTACAGTGCAGATTTATTGCAAAGTTGAAACTCGGACCAATTAAGAAATCGCTTGAAGCTGGTGATACTCCTGAAATGGTATGCAAGAAGATGTATATCTGCTAAACATTCTATATTATGTACTACAGGAATTCTTGCAAAAATAAATTTATGTGCACGATGTAGAACAAAGGGGAAAGTGACGACTTTAACCTTGCTTATGAATGTGTGACATGATGACATGAGCACATCCAATTTCATGTTCCTATTGCCGTGATCAGATGACATCGTGAAATTTAGGGGCCCATTTCCTTGGGGCTCAACTGTAGCGTTCACACTGCCACGCGGGACTTTTCTTCTGCTCCTAACACAGTATGGTAGCACAACTTTATGAACTGCGATCAATAACTACCAACTTACAATCTGCTACCGCAACTTGTAAGGAGAAAGAGCCCGCGTATGATTTCCCTATTTAGGCGAACTTGTAATTGAGCGATTGTTGCTAAAGCAAGAATGGCCGAGCTCCTTCTCCACACCTGCCTCTGTTCTTTATGACGAGCTTATCTCATGAAATCTAACAACATAGACGGCGCCCAAGAGCTCAAGCATCTTCAACATTGTTGCATAGGACGATGAGTGACTACTTACAATTGTGACTACAATACACCTAAATCAGTTAAAGGTAACAGCCTCAATCGTCAAATTGTATTACACACACATGAAGCCTCGTCGACTTGTCGACAAGGAAAGATAACAAACGAGCCTGTTTTACAATAGCAGAAATCATCTGTACTGTACCGAACTCAGTTATTATCATTCTGCCTGGAGGAAAGGTAAAGATTTGGCAGTGAGTCAAAAACGTCAATCTCGAAGTTTCGAAGTTGAGGATGCTGAAATCATGTGCATATAACACTCACGATATCAAACTGCTATAAGGGTTGGTAATATATGCAGCTGGAAATGACCCGAAAAAGCTTTCTGAAAATATCGGTCCATAACGTAGCTGCAATTATTGCTGTCCTATTCTTGCTCGCCATTTCAAATTTTCCATCGTGCTGGATATACTGTAAGGAGATGTATAGTACAATATAATATCCTTTATCGATACCTGTTCAAAACATTTGAGCTTACTCCTCCGGGTTGATTAGCAGCCAGCTCGACTGGGAGAACAAAAGCACCGATTTGTGTATCGGCTGGTCTCTACAAGTGATTGCACGCATAGGCCCCATACAAACAAATTTTTGATTAGAAGTTGAATCAAGGGGGATTTATCATCGTCAAAAAACTTCGGTCCCCTTCTTTTTTCACATGCAACGTGGTGTCCGTTGATAGCGGTTATTTCAAGAACAAAATTGTCGTCACCGTACCATTACGGCTTCTTTTAAAAAACACGTTTACATTTGAGTGAGGTAAATAGTAACTATTAACGTTAATACCAAAGTATTAAAAAAAACTAAAGATTTCAGCTTCAAAGTCATCAGATTCCCTCATTGTGATGGTATTACAAAATGTTAATAAGAATAAAGCCTCTGTCATATTCAAAGAAGCATTGGGAATTGCCAGTACTTGTTCTAATATAGAAACATTCACCACAATGTAAAAACAAATGGTGGAAATCCTCTCGGGAATGGGATACAGAGAACAATTCGTAATTACTTGTTGAGTTATGGTATTTATAGAAATAAATTTATATGCTTATCTATTAAGGATAATTTCTATAAAATCACCTAATTAGTTAACGGAATTCTGAATCAGAAATGAGCATTATCAATAGATTGGCAATAATTCATATTCACTCCTGTCCTTGATTCGAGCAACATGTCTTTACCCATTCCTTTTTCCATTAATCCCAAATCACTGATGAGAATCAGCGAAAGGTGGAGACGCTGGTTCGTCGGGTAGAGGCGAAACGAGCCATCTTTAGTCTGCCTGGTTATTCAGCCTTTTTTGTGTGTTCGCTTATTACAGTTTTTGTGCTGCACTGATTTCCATTCGTTACACTTTACTTATTGGATAAGCTGGTATTCTTTGAGCCCCGAGGGCAACTGCCTGTTCCATTCTGAGGCAACTGTCTCATGCAACCGGTGCTGTGGTGTTCTTTGCTAGGCCATTGGTCCGAGATGCGTCAAATGACGTTTCTGAACTTCCCATTATTCATGCTTTTCCGAAGTAACGTAAAGACCCCATCAATTTCAGATTTATTACTATCTCATAAAAGTAGTACTAAACCATTTGTTAGAGAATTACGCACTGTTTTCAAGGTTGTAAAGAAAACTTTATCAATTACACTAAAGTAATACGAAAGAGAAACAGAACTATTAAAATATTTGGTCTCTAAGTAAATCAGTCATGAGCTTAGTTCCATTCCTTGACAATCTTGAGTTGTATACTGCTGATTTCACTGAAATGTTTACCAATCTAAATCGCAAATTAATTAAAATAATATTCTTAAACCACTCAAAATTTGGCTCAGGAACGCTAACAAGACTATGATAGTAACTATTGGGTACCACGTCTTTCATACAGGTAGCACAGGTATTAAAAATAACAGTAGATGCAATAGATTAATGACTTGCTCTTTATAAAGATTATTCTGCTCTTTATAAAGATTATTCATTATTTAATAATTTTGTTTGTAGAAATAATTTTTATAAACAGGTAAAAGTTGTGCCCCAAGAAAACAGCATCAGTCTTCTACAAGCGGATCGACCTATCCAGTTCCAGAATGGAATAATGAAGATCAAAGATTCAATGAACTATTTAACTTCATATTCAGTTCTGTCCTGGATTTGAACAATATATGTATCTTTACCCATTCTTTTTTCCACTAACCCCAAACCACTGATGAGCCTCAAAGGAAGGGTGGGACGATGGTTCGTTCGGAGAAGAGGTGAAACGAACCATCTTTAGTCTGTCTACTTATTTTGTCCTATTAATGTGCTTGCTTATTGTTGTTTTTATGCTCCACTGGCTTCCATTCGTTTCACTTTACTTATTGGACCTCGCCACCACGACAGTCCAAAAAGCTCCAAAGCTCCCATCCTGACAAGTCATGATACATTATACGAATTTCAGTCAGTCAGTGATCACTTGAGACATAAGGAAGTAGAATGAGTGTTTGGAATGTGGAAACGCTCAACACGGTAGTGAGGCAGCCAGCTAACAATTACCTTGCCGTTTGCAATTACTATCGTAAGAAATTACATGCTCGTAATTGCAATGTACAACGTTGGTCTTTCGCCTGCAAAATTATACCATTAAGAGCCTTACTCATCAGGTACGCGGTCTGTGCTCGACAGTGTTGTCTTAGTTGCGATGTTCGAGCAACTACTTATACTTTCAGCTCGACTTTGAGGGTATTTTAATTATCGAACAAGGTCACATCTTCAATGAGACGTTGCATGCTTCTTTTAATAAACTATGATGTTTCGGAACTACTCTCGACCACGTTCCTCCTGACAGTGGCGCAAGTAGGGAAACGGGCAATAGGAACGACTTTGTGTAATCGATCCGCCGTACGCGACTGTCGCGGACCATTTGCCTCGTTATAGCAGTTCTAGCGTTTTTCATACAGCTCAATCGCTACTTATGGCATGACTGTTGGTTCTTTTGTTTCTGGAGTTCTTATTTGCTGCTGCATTTTGCTGCATTCCTTGTCGCGCCGCGACGTCTCTGTCGCCGCGGCGCGGCAATTTCGCACCTACTGCACCACACCCGGCGCAAGTGAGCCCCGCTATATCAAATTCGGTCGCTGACTAACTCGATCTCATTCCCATGATCTCTTTTCAGTGACTATTTTTGTACACCTGCTGCCTTTTTTGCCAAACACCTTCTTCAACAAAACCCATCTCCTTTTGACTGGTCATGGTCAAAGTCATTGCAGTGTATAGTCTTATGCTGATGAACTCCTCTCCAAGGATTCTGAGTAGGTTCGACTTTGCAAAAAGCGACTTGCGATCAAACCAAAACGTATAGGCTCAGCAGCATGTACAGCCAACCAGATGGTACATGTAGGCTCTCATATACAAACTGGATGTTGTATGTTCGATTGCTTCACGTCTTTCTGCAAGCTCCCCTTCGTTACCACGTTTTCTGAATGCACCCATAATCACGGAATGCATCGAATACAATGAAACGTATGGTTGTTTTTCTCATGGGAATCAACAACAATCCTTACTCACTCAATAGACCCAGCACTATATATGAAAGTCAACATTTCAACATTTTCCTCGTAAAACTTGAATAAGTCGAATAAGGTTTTTCTAATAATACTAAGAAATTCGTACAGAGTACGATCCTATTTCGAGTTCTTTAAACCTCAGAAGCTTGAAGCTACTTCATTGGCCGTACTACATCTTGCTATTTGAAGCGGATGGTATACGCTTGAATGCCTTTTAAACAATCTCTTAAATGTTGTTGTTCCCACTCAGAAGTTTCAAGACCATTTATTCATGTTTGAAAGTGAGATTTAATAAAATTTATGGGTGGAGTATCGAAATTGGCGGTTCGTGGGCTATCATTATGCAGTGGCTATAGTAATTCTTCAGGAATTGTTCATATAAATTGAGCATTCAACGGTAAATGCATGTTCCCGTCCCCATCCCTTGAAGATCTATTTGGGACGTCTAGGGATTCCAGAATTGTTTTATATTCCGGCGATCGTGCTTTGGTTGTCATCGGATTTCATCTCCTCCTCGCTTCGTTTCGTTTTTAAATTCAAGCCGCATTTTTTAGAACAACAGATTTTCAGTGAATCAAAAACAAAATGGCACAAGCGACTTCTGCAAACCGAGAAGCCGTGGACGAGTTGTTCATTGTTGGGATGCCTGATGTAGTCTTCTACCACACCGTGAATGCTATTCTTGGGGGCGTCTGTACTGTCATTAATATTCTCCTATTCATAATCTTTATTGCTTCCGCTACAATGCGAAAGAAAGCTGAGGTAATAGCTATTTCATCAATATGGATCTGCCGTCATGGAAATTGAAAATTTCGAATGTACGCTAGTTTTTTAAACATCAAAAGAAGGGGAGTAGTGTAGAGGCGAGTTGCGCACTACCATACAGACACGACGCCATGTGTTCGAGTCCCGGATCGGTATCCACCTAAGCCAACCGAGCTCTCCATCCTTCCAGAGTCTGCTATTTGGTGGCAGGTTCGTCTGACCAACGGGATATGAGCACTGACTCGTTCAACGGCTAGCCAGTGCACGTCATTGTAGTGACTGCAATGATGGGGTCCAATACTCTTTAGCGGTCACATGGTTATGAATGTTCTGATGGGAGACATTACTTACCATTGTTCTGACGTACTAGACGTCCAATTACGGTCCCACGAGATAGCAGAAGGTAATGAAAAATCGCGAGAAGCGGAAGCGATCACATCCGTTCATTCCCTTCAATTAGGCCAGAAATAGTCAACTGATATGGCCTGTTGTCGTGAACAGGTACATTGACTAAACGTATCCTGATTCTCGGACCTGATATTCTCAGGTCCCAGAAGGACCTTTTTTAGCTTTAGCAAGGACCTAAGCGCGCTTTGATCACTACTTCACCACGTGTAACATCGCATTGGCTAGTGAAAGCAAACTCTCAATCGAATGCATTCATTGATAACCCTAGAAAAAACAGCGCTTATGGTTTTTCTTGGAAGAAAATCCTCTCTAAGTGGCCTCTTGACAATTGCGGTTTCTAAATGGCGAAAAGTTCATGCTAACGCCACTATCAGTCCACTTCCTGGCGGTGACGTAGTGGGAGAATCAAGCAACTGGGACAATGATGGAGACGAGAATAGGTTTTGTCCTGGAGCTCATCCAAATCCCTCAGAACGTTCACTAAGATCAAAGCGTCGAAACCATTGTTTTTCACTATCATACCAAGTAATCACAGTCATCACAGTAATCACTATCATTTGGTAATAATAAAGGAACTTTCCCCAGAATCCCGGAAATTTCCAGGATTTCAAGTCTTTTTCTTTCAGGTATTGATAGTTCTATGTCTAGCAGACGGTATTAATGGTTTCTCGATTATGCTTATGGGTCTGAACAGAGTCGGCCTCTACACAAAGGTGTGATTGCAAGTTTATTTCTTTGTTCCCCTCAACAGCTATTGAAAGGCAGAATTCGGTCAAGTGATTAATTTTGGAAAAAAATTTCAGCAGCAAAACATTACTCAGTTCTTTTGAAACTGTCAAGTCACAAAAAAAAGCGCTTGTAGCGGAATTCGGACAATTCGAACAACACCAGGATACTTCCACTAAGCAACTTTTCATTTGTCAGCTATTTACTTGTTATTTGCTTTCTTTTTGAAGAAAACGTGGTCTTTTTGAAGAAAACGTCTGTAAGCTCCTCATGCCCCTCCTCACCCAGCACAGCAATGGCAAATGCATACGAAAGATGGTAGTACGATAAAGTGGTTCATAGATGTAACTTCCAAGAGAGTCGAGCCTGTCCATTTTAAGTTTCTACTATAGTATGCCCTTATGCCGATTATTCAATAGTTCTGTACCGGAAGGGTTTTTATGGTGGAAGACTTGATTCGCGTAAGGTTTTTGGTTTGTCATGCTGTCTCGTCATTCATCCATTAGGATTCACTAGAAGATGCCGTGGACTTCCAGAAAAACCTTTTGCTTTGCCTTGACATAGTCACTTCGAGTGTGCTGAGTGGACGTGAAAGGTTCGTGCCTCAGGGAGCTCTGGGTAGGCGGACATTGCGTGAAAAATGATACCCTTAAAGTTCAACCCATGAAGCAGACAGCGAGAACGTGCCTAGCCGTCGTTCCTTTGGCAGATGTCTTACGTAACAGAATATTTTTCTGATCACTCAAACATGTTGAATATAGAGCAATTTTCAATGAAAATTATTGTCTGTACTGTGCGCAGCCTAATTCACCCCATTTGCATTGAAAATTTTCGAAACCGCTTGGAAAACTTCGTTCTTGCTCACGTTTGTGTATGTAGAGCATAGATATGTACACACGTCAACTAATTACCCTGCACAGCTGTGTTGAGATGTGCAGAAAAATAAGGAAATACGGGAATAATTTACCTCAGATCAATCCAGCATAATTATACAGCACTGTCTGGGAAAAACAGTTCTAGCTAATTACATCTTAGCCAAAATGCTAACAAGCTGGACAAAATCAAACACCAGTTAGTCTGAGATCACCCCTACTGCTGGATTCGCTCCATGGGATGTTGGGTGATCCGTCCACATTCAAAAGTTGGTTATTGTACATGAGGGTTGTGTTTTACCAACCTATTGGAGAATCTGGGGGCACTTGAGCTTTTGTGTAAAGCGACATTTGCAATTAACGGGGAGAAGGTCTGGTTACATTGCCCGGGTTCAACGGAAGTAAAGGTCATGCTGATGTGACATCGGAGTTAAGTATACGGTTTTAACCTATAAAAGCAACATTAAAATGGGGAATTTTTAAAGTTTTGCTATATAGGGCACCGTTACTTCATGTGTGAGTAATAGGGATTAGTGTAGCATAAGCGGTGGTCCCTTCCCTGAAGTTCTAATCCGAGAGAATTGATGGTGAGAAACGTAAACGCTTAGTTTTACTTGCTTCATTATTTCCAACCTAAAGCAGTTACTTGATGCTGATGAAGTTGACGACATGCGGAGCACATTGCTATGATTCCAAAACTATTTGAAGTTGCTGGGCCGAATTCCAAGAAGATAGGACTAAGAGAGTGTCGATCGCTCCGAGTAACTTTCCAAAGTACCTTCCCAAGGAATTTTGAAATCCTAACAGGCTTTTGTGCCACTACGAACTTGTTCAAATGTCTGGTGGAATATCATGTTCCTCCATGAAAAACCTGACATGCCCATGGGCAACGATTACCCAGGACTCAGAAAGGAAAAAAGGTTAGGCAGAGAATTCTGAATCATGTGGGACTAACAAATCTGGAACATTTTGGCTGCTTTACTTCCTGATGTCAAAAATTTCAGGTCATTGATACGCTCAGTATTCCAATACGGACACCTTGGGAATGTGCTGTTGAACCGTGGATCATTTTCAGAGGTTACGGTGGGTCATCCCGTAGTACTCTTCAAACTCGCCAAGCTCTTCAAATTTTCAAAGTTATTCAAGCCATCGTGCTTCATGAAGGATTTATCCTGTTCTGAAACTGTTTCCCCTTAAAAATCGTACTCCAAAATAGAAAATGATTAATGGTGAGGCTCTAAAATCATTTTCACTTGGAGTTACTTATAAATGGTCATGTTCGTATATGAGATTACGTTCCAAAGTACATACTTGCCAGGTATACGGCAGAAAATTACATTTCTCAATAGGCTGGCGATGAACTTTTTGACACAAAGCATTTACTAACGCAGTGATAAATTGATTCTGAAAAGCCGTAGGGAAGGCGAGGGGAAACGAGATCCCGCTTGTGTAAAACATGGAGACCACGATATCAGTGAAGTAAATGCAGGTTCGATTCCCGACCGAAGCTAAAGTTTTGCCAATAGCTTGCCAACCATGTCATAATTTCTCATCGCGTTTTGCTACGCAATTACAGGGCCTATGAAAATCAGCTAAACTAAATAACTACTAATACTATGATCGAAGAGATGGCTTTGTTCAGGGGACTTATGGCCACCAGTCGTACAGTTCGCTATGGGAATTGACCGCTGTATGGCAGTTTTTGATCCGATTCGTTATAGACATCGGATTACAAAAAGGTAAGGAATTTGTTACGTTCTGTGATATTTCAGAGATAGTCACTCACGTCAATGGATTTGCTAGAAAATCTTTGAAAGCGTTTGAAGGCGAAATTTCTCATCTGCAGACACTTTCAGAACTCTAGGACCTCCCCTGCTGCCTAGCACAGACACGAACGAACCGAATCATTAGCTGGATTCCTTCATGCTGCCAAAAACTCTGCGGTTAGGGTGGTGAATGACGTTCCGAGAGCTTTCTATACGATCGAAATACGGTTCTTTTCCTAAAGACTAACGACCTCATTCCTGATGTTTCAAATACTTTAATCTCTACGCAAAAGTAATATCTACATTATTTATGGTGTAGATAGCAATTGCAGACAAAGCCCAGTCAGCTTGTGTTGTCAAGAACAAGACAGAGACAACAACTTGATAAGAAAAATGGAAGTGGGAGGGAAATGATTTACCAATTAAAGAAAGTAAGAGAAATTGAAAAATGTAAAGTGTTTGTAGATTGTAAAATATCTAAGATGATCAGAAAAACTCAGATGTCTACAAAAATTCTCCCCTCCACCTCTGCTCCCGTTTCGCGATTACCGTGACCCCTGACCCTTGAATGAGAAGGTGATCCCTCGCTCGCTTCGATCCTTTACTGCTGCGATCTTAGTGGCAAAACTTTCAAACCAATCTCGTCCAGGTTAATTTTTCTTCCCAAGAAATACCTCAAGAATGTGGGTATTTTTTTGTAATGGTCAAATACTTCCAGGAATGGTATATTCCTGATCACCACTCTTGCTTCCGTCACATGTCTTCTTGGTATCGGCTACGTTCTCGCTTGGATTAATAGGGCAGGCAAGGTACGTTCACTAGAAAGCATTCGAGCTTTATTCAAGTACATTTTTGCTGGGTGCCGAATCTACTTATACACAAAGAACGATTTTCCAACACGCATTCAACTTGAAATAATCGAGGTACGTAGTATGAGCTACAATGCATAAAAAGGTTTCTTGAAAATTCCAAAACGAAAGGGATTTGCAAGTTTCCTATAAAGTTTTATGTTATGTTATGTTTATTACGCTGCTAAGGCAAGCAGTAAAAGACAACCTTCTAAAATCACCATAATAGACCATGCGAAACAGAGATAAAAGCAGTAGACAAAGCAAACTAAGAAGAAAACCACACACACATAATGCTACCCAGATATTAGACAAAGACACAAGTATGGAATCGTTTGATCAATCTCAGAAAACTAGGAAAGTTCATATATGGATAGAACCACTGCCATTTTACGCTTGAACCTATTCAAAGCCT